TGTATGTTGAATATTTATTCGAAATTTTTTTGAATTTGATGTTATTGTTGGGTTATTGTTGGATTATTGTTAGATTATTGTTGGATTGTGGTGATTAGGGCATTTGCTATTATTTTTTAGTTGGAATAAAAATATGATTATTATTTTTTTTTTGTGCAACAGGTTATAAATGGCGTCTATAGGTCCTTATTTTGTTAATGTGTACTGGAAAATTCCTCAAAGTGAGTTAGGGAATTTTTCGAATTATTTGGCTCGTCCAGATTGTTCATTTATTATTAATGAGAGAATATCATATGAACAATTGGTAGATATAATTTACGAAAATGGTGGATTTCGTGATAGTTGGACAATTTCGAATATTACTTTCATGGTCCAACAACCGGATGGGTCATTTATTCCCGTAAGACTGGATAATGATAGTGCGCTTGAGTGGATTTACTACTATCCTCGTATGTCTGTTGTGTTTTTGTATATTGTGTTGGAAGCAAACACACAGGTTACACAGGTTGGGGATCCTACCCCATCATATGGTTACGGGGGAGTGTTTGGTGATCAAGGTACATGGACTACGCATGCCGGTAATTTTGGTGAAGGGACGAGTAATTTCGGCGAAGGGACGAGCTTTACCATGAGAGGACCGGACATTGAGGAAGAAATTGTTGGAGATGAAGATTTCAGTCCCGGTGAAGACGATGTCACTGATGAGACATCGGAAATCGAATCGGACAGATCAATTAATGAGGAAAGCGAACAAGAATTCATTGAAAAACACCCCTTTCCAAATGAAGGCCTCCACTCATATCGCGAGATGGGTGAGTGGGACGCGTCGTGTGTAGACAGGGACGAGTATGCCTTGCCACTCTGGGATGGGCATGTCGAGACTATCCGTTTGCATACAGTTTTTCGTACCAAGGAAGAAGCTCAGACTGGTGTTATGGCCTGGAACGTTGAGAATCTTAGGGCTGTCCGGACAAAAGATTCGAACAAGAGGTCGTTCAAAGTTGTGTGTAGATCGGATGAAGTTCCACCATGTATATGGAAGGCTCGGGTGAGTCTTAACACACGGGTTCACGACATGTGGGAGGTAATGGAATGGACCGATAGCCACACTTGCATGCAGGTGTTCGAGAGAAATGACCGTAAGAATGTGACCGCCACCATGATCTCAAATCTTCTGTTGGCTAAGATTCAGAAGCAGGTGACCTACAGTGTGGAAATGGTGCAGGCCGACGTAAAAAGTGCCTGGAGCGTCGATGTCAGCTATAAGAAGGCGTGGCACGGGAGAAAAAATGTCATCGATCGTGTGTATGGCACGTGGGAATCGAACTTTGCACAACTCCCCCAGTAAGTGTCGAAATTAATTATTAATGTATTTCCTTGTTGGTTGTAACTATATTTAATTATTTATTTATTTATGGTTAC